CCACACCAAGAAGCATTTGGACAAGAGAAGACAAATCGGGTTCGGGCAGTGCAGGAACCACGAAGCAGGAGCGTCCTGGGCTGAGGTTCCCTTTAGACCACGGCCCAGTGACACATGGGCTGTGGAGCTGTTGGTTATTACTTTTCCACGGCATGGGCGACTGTCACAAAGGCACGTAAAACGCTGACTCCTCACTTGAAAACTGCTGAGCGGGCAGCTTGGGTGTAAGTCAGAGCTGGCAGCACGGGCAGGCAGGCGGGCAGTGCTGCTGGCCCTCCCCGGGGGGGACGAAAGCTCAAAGCTCTCCCTTACTTTGACAAGTGGGAAGTGCAGACGCGCAGCGTGAAAGCCAATACACTCGGGTGGGAAAACCAAGAGAGGTCTATTCCTGTCGGCAGGCTGGAGAGAGGCGAGGAGCGCTGCTTCAGGTTAGCTCTCGCTGTCAGCCACACCGGCTTGCTCGACTCCTCACGCTCCCCAGCCAGCTCACGGGCAGAAACACGCACAAGAACAGGGCAGCAGAAGTTGGGTTTAGCTCTTCCTGCCATCGCTGAGGAGGAACTGCGTAACGAGCAGCACCAAGACTGCCTTTTAGCAAACTAGGACACTGGGGAAGTTCACAGGAGATTTAAAAAAAAAAATAAAATCCTGCAGTGCCAATGGTATTATGGAAACATGTAATGGCCAAAGCTGCCACTGCAAAGTGCTCCTGGGCAAGGAGGAGATGTGACTAAGGCACAGGGACAACAAATGACAGCTACGGCATGTACTTTCTGCGGCCAGAGCAGAGACACACTAGCTGCCAACCCGGGCAGCAGTGACGCAATCCCTGCAAAGCCAGGTCATGCGTACTTTTTAGGGCACAAAACGATAGAGAGATTAAAAGAATAAACACAGTCTAGCCAGGGCTCTTCAGAATAAACAAACAAGTCAAGTCAGAGCCACGCTGTCACTCATGGGCACTCCTGTGAAAAATGCAGGACTGGCATAACATGGTCATTGCTCAACCAGACCCTGACACGCTGCTAATACATGACGAGCAAGAGGCTTAGAAATCCTGCTAGGACAGAAAGAACAGGACATGTTGCTCTTGCAGAGCCAGGGTAAAAACAACAAAAAATATTCACTGGGAAACCCACCCCCCCTGCCCCCTGTCCGGCTGTGGGGACGCAGTTCTCTTCTACAGGGTCTGCCTCACCCTCTCCCTCCTGCTCTGCAGGGACCATGCTATTTGCAAAGTAAAGGGCAAAGCAGCCCAGCCCAGCCTCCAGATTAGGACAAGGAGGAATCTCTCTGAACTCCTTGTGCAGCCTTGGTCAGCAGCACACCCTGCTTAGCTGATCCCTGAGCCCCCCTTGACCTACAAAGGCAGCTCCATCCCTGGGAAAGCAGGCAGCAGTGCTGGGCCAGGGCGCAGGGACAGCACGATCCCCCCTTGGCCCTGTGCAACCTCATACGAGGAAGACTGGAGGGATCTTGCTGCCAGAACATGGGGCAACCACCAGGCAGGGGGATTGCAGCTGCTCTCCCGGGAGAGCTGAGCAGAGGCAGATGTGTCCCCAGGGCACCCCAGGATCCAGACTGTACCTCCCCAATGCTACCTCTAGCCAGCCTCACGCAGCAAGCAGAGAAAACAGGCTAGGAAAGATTGAACTCGACAGCCTACCGGGACTGCATCAGGTACCAACTTCTTTTGATCTCTCTCCACCCACACCTTTTGCTAAATTCTCCCAAGAGACTTCCCCCCACCCTAAGCCCTGTTACTGACACCTCCAAGCACTGCAGCCCCTACCTTCAGGCACAGGCAGGAAGATGAGGGGTTTGTGAAACACTCTCTGCAAAACATCTTTAGGGGCCATTAGAGACCCAGCCAAGTCCACACAAGTCTCCTGTGCTTGCCAAATCTGGGCCAGCTCTGTCCACACTGCAGAGAGAGACCCCCTCCCACCCCAGCACAAGCTCAGTTGTGATCGTACGGTATCAGCAGTGCCAGTCTCATCTGGTTTGTGCTATCTACGTGTTCACTGCCCACCTGCTCTCTTCTAAACGTTGCTCCCACGGGATGGGACACCAAAGACCTGCCTAGACAGTGGTTGCCCAGCCCACAAAAGTCTCCTTGAAGCATGAGGAGGGAACCAGAGATCGCTGTGGTCTGCACATCTGGTCTAGCCAGCATCTTCTGGGCTTCTCAGGTCCTCAACTGCTGCTTTACAGCATGCAAAGTTTCTTGGTTTTTCTTTCCTACTTGCAGAGGTGTTTGGAAACAAGGACCAGCAGCACGCATGTTAATCAGCAACACTGAAGAAGTTGGTTGCTTTTGAATTACACCAGCCTTCATGCTTTTCATTGTGTCAATATCTTGCATGACTTACTCTCTAGACGTATCTAGAGCAGAGCTCTGAGCAGTCCTGTCCTCAGGAAGGGCTTTCTGCTGGGCCCTCTGAGGGCTTTCACCTCCAGTCTCCGGGCTGTTACACCACCTCCTTGATCTTCTGCTCTATCCTTTGCTTAGAATAGAAAGTGGCCAAAAGCAATTTTTTGCAGAGCTCCAAGCCTCTAAGAATTTATTTTAAAAGATTTAAAATAAACGTATTGTGTTTAGGTTATTTACCATATTATATATCGCATACTGTGACAGCTTAACAAGAAAAAGCACTGGGCATGAGTCTGTGAAGCACTGACTATCTTGAAAACTCCAAACATTCAATTTAAAGCCCTTTAAAAAAATCCCACTGAGTTCAATGAGACTGTGTATAGTCACTTTGTGCTTCCTTGAACTTTCTTTTTTTTTTAAATTTAAAAATATCAGGGTTAACAGCCTTGTTCTCCTGGGCTGCCAGAAACCATCTCTAGTTCTCAAGAGGTATGCAACACTACCCTGGAAGAGTTAGGAAAACCAATAATACTCTTTACATATAAAATTTGAGTTACTATTGTTTTTTAAAATAGTTTTTATAATGAACTTACCATTTGCCTTTTGTTTTCTATCAAGTTTGATCCAATTATTCCAAGAAATGACCCAAAACCAAGCTGAAAAACAACATATTGTTAGCATTTAGATCAGGAGGATATCCAACATATTTTACATACAGACAGAACACAATTAAATCCAGAAGCAGCAAAACAACATACTGCGGATGTGTGAGCACCCTTCCTTCAGCAAGGAATCAGTGGAGTCTCTCGCTAGCAGGAACTATCAAGTGTTATATGACATTAAAAGCGTGTGTAGAAACTAAAAGGATGAGTTCTGAATTCCATCCCCTCCCCAGTGATGCTGAGAAATGGCTGGTGGATGAGGATATGCATTGCAGTCTTGGAACAACCCTACGCACACTCCAGATGCAAACCTAGCAGGACCACATCACTAGTATCTGCAGGACCAGGCTTTTGTAACCTCACCACGGGTGCGAGCAATCACCTAAGTTTCTTGATGTGAAGTATGAGATAAGGGAGAATTATACTCAGGAAGATGTAGCAGTTTTCAGCTTTCTTCTACTCTTCCCTCATTTCCAAGGGTGAGGATGCATCAACCAGGTTCTTCTACCAGAAAAGCTCACACCAGCCCAGCCAACAGAATAAGCTACTCCAGCAAAGCGTCTTTTCTTGCTGCCATAACTGACAACACTGTTCTTATTTCAGCTCAGTGAAGTCAGCCAGGAGTGCAATTTCTCACCTGTTTTCCCCATAGCCTTAAGCTGTTTAGCTACACTAAATAGAAGTTTCTAGGACAGAGCACACCTCAGCCAGGCCAGAAACAGAGAGTTCAACCAAGAACCACAGGCTACCGGAGGAGATGCAGAAGTACTTCTGTGTCACACTGAGAAAGGTCTTTGATCGGTGTAGAGCATATCCAACTCCACTTCTGTGGGTCGGCAAAATGAGAAATGCCAGAAAAGCCCTACAGTTAGCCTGGTCATATTAAGCTGGTATAAATCCAGTCAACAGACTAGGGGGGCAGTGAAGATCCAGGCGAGAATGCCAAATAACTGGCCAGCTCCTCAGGAAGCAGAATAAGGCACGAGACAAGCTGCAGTGATTCAAGAATGAGTCAACTAACCTGGAATTGATATTTTAAGATCCAGGAATAGAAAACAAAGGTTTAATAAATCTGATACTAACAAGCAGAAGCACGTGCAGGGATCAGCAGACAAAAACGTGATGAAAAGTTGGGCTTAAATCTTCCCCCGCTCTGCTTAAGCCCAGTAACACTGGGTGCAGTGCCGTGGGCAGCAAGGGCTGCTGGCTTAACGCCCCCCAGCCGATCAGGCTGCTGCTTCCCAGATGCCTGCCTTGCACTCCAAGATCTTGGAGACCGTTGTCCCCACATCAGGGACAAACTACCGTGGTGGGAAGCAGAGCAATGAAGCCAGGTGCTGCTTAACACTGGGGCAGCGGGCAGGCAGGGCAGAGAGCCAGGGGCACTGCTGAACTGCCCTAAATTGATCTGCCAGTGCTTCTGGGCTTATTATTTTACTTGGCTTGGGCAAGTGAAAACCCTCACCTTCCCCAAGTGACAGGAGTTTTACAGTTCAATTCCAAGCCCCAAAGCTGGGAGATCCAGGCATTAACAGCAACATGGATCCAGACACTATTTTCTGTCTGGTGATGTTGAGCAGCAAGGAAGTTGTGTGGCAACAAACACCGAAGGCAAATGCTCAAGAAAAACGTTTTGTGCCCTTTGAGCTTGATCCAACATGTTTAAGGGAAATGTCCACGTGGAGTTTCAGAGCAGCCTCAAACCAAAAGGCGAAATACTTAAGATAATTTAAGATAAATAAGAAAGAAGAAATTAGAGCAAGTCTGTACATCCAACGGGTGAAGATCAAATAAATCGGTGGATTCTCATTAATTGATGGGAATTCTCATTGCATAAATGGCAAAACCACTTGTTCTTTTCTGGATGGGACAAAGAGATCTTAGTAATCTGCATCAATTGCATCACTTATTTTGCTGGTGGATATGATCCCCTGGGATATCTGTCTGAAAAGAGGACAGGACACAAAATGAACGTGCTTTTCCAGAGTAAAGCCGCAGGCCAACATGCTTGACAAGGAACCGTTACAGAAGAGGTTTCCCAGTCAAAGCCTAAGAAAGGTCAGTCATTTACACAGATGCTGGAAGCTGGTGTAACTTGGAGACAACACATGCGTGCCCCAGAGCCTCACTTCCATAAGGTGGGTGCTTGCCCTCTGCACCTGATCGTTACTCTTGTCTGCGGAGCATCACTGTTATACCCTGGGCTTCCCAGGCCCAGGTCAGTCATCCAGCCACAGGTGAGGGTATTTCCCACAGAGGCAGAGCCAGGGTGGTCACAGATGTAGTCATGAAGGTGTCGGTGGTGATGGAGGCAGCCTGGCCACAGGACATGTCATTGCACCCTCTGCTTCAGCTCCTCCAGTTGTGTCAATGAGGAACTGCACTGTTTGGGAAAAAAATCCCCAAAACCCAAACCCTGCAAAAAACCTCAACCAAACAAAATCCCACTGATGCGTGGAAGGTCTCCAGTGCCCGGTTCTGTCTTTCCTTGGGAGCAGAGGCCTGGGAAGATAGTGCTCCTCATCAGACAGCCACTTCTTTGCATGTTTCCTCCTTGTACAAGAGATGTCTGCCCAAGACACACAAGTTAAAGGAGGAAAGAATGGCGCATTGGGCATGGCAGTGATGAGCATCTGATGTCCTGTGAGGTGATGCCATCCATGGATCTGGTCCACAGATGAAGAAGCCACCCGGCACACGAAGAGACTTCTGGCTCTGTCTTTTCCTTACCAGTACAGGGTACTCAGGGTATGACTGACAGCAGTGCACCACTAACAGTGCACAGAAACCCCTGACCGAGATGCAGGCAGGCCTAACGTTCCTGTGAAGTTCTGGATGACAAGACCTGCAAGGAGCTGTGGAAGGCACCTGCTTGGGGACAACTCACCGAGTACTCATGCACCGCGGCAAGCCCTTTTTCAACCATAAAGGGAGAAATCCCAGCTTGTTACAAAACATCGGCTATTTTAAGCGCCTGCTGAAGCATCCAGCAGCACAATGAAATGTTTTTCTGTGCAGGGAGACAGGCGAGGTTGTCACACATTTCCACGCAGAGGATTAATGAACTAACTGAGAAGGGAAATTTGGTGACAAACACAAACTGTCAGGGTGCCTCTGAATAAAGTAATTCAACACCCTTCCCAAGTCCAGGAATTCATTAATTCCTTGAGCAGACCGAGTCTTACAGAAGCGTAAGCGATGCTGACGTTCCCGGACCATAAATAGCACGGAAGATGTCAAGGGGACGTGAACAACAGGCTCTACCCATCTGCAGCAGTCTGCAGGACCTGCTCTGAAGCACGAGGTTCAACTCAGGCTGACAGAGCGTAGGCTAAGCACGGATTGTTTGAAGCCAGCCTGTCACCTTTCTCAACACCTTCCTCGACACCTTCCTCCCGTACTTCTCTTTAAAAAAGGTCAAGCCTAAATGCAGGAGTTATTGGGACAAGCCAGAAAACCAATCCTAAACCAAAGAGGCCCAACACAGTCTATAACAACGTTCCACACTAATGCTGTAAAGGGGCTTTCTTCAGTCATAGAAGAGCTTGTCCACAGAGAAGTATAAACCTCCCTGAGATCAGCGATGCGTGGCAAATAAATCAAACCGCAATAAGGCAAGAACAAGTCTCCACTGGCTTTAAGCCTCCAAACCTAAATGCACAGCACTCCACAGCTGTCACACCAGGACCCTCTAGCTGGAGGGCTGCAGTTACACTCGACCTGCTAAGACACCTAATTTGGCTGCAGCTCAGTCCTTTTTGTGCTGCTTTGTGGGCATGTGTCAGACACACACAGGAACAGACCAGGACTTGCTTTCCAGCTCGTGTTAGACCTCTGCTCATGCCGGGAGGGGCACGATGCACTTGCCCCTTGTGCTTCTGCAGAAGGTTATACATCTACTGGCAAGAAGACTGGGCACCAGTGGTCTTCTGTAAATTAAGCCATTTGAAGCTACAAGATTGTCCTTTCCCATTTTCATCTGTTGATAACAGAAAAGAAGAAATGGATGTGCTAGCTGCTTTGATGTGCATGCCTTCCTGGCAAGCTGCCACAGCTATTGCTAACACGCAATATTCTCCTCATTCAGGAACTCCTAATCGTTAAACACCTCTGCAAGTGAACTTTATGACCATCAGTTCATGTGAACAGTATTTCAACACCTGGGCTCTCAACTGTTCTTGGCACCTCTGGTCCTTCTTTGCCTTCCTTCTGCCTGGGGTTAGTGTGATATATGCAAGCAAAGAAGTTCTAAGGTTGCTTTGACCGACATAAGACCTATTTATCTGTCTCACCGTTAGCTCAAAAGCATGTTATTACCTAAGGTCAGAGGAAGCTGCCACTTGGATGGGATTTTTGCATGGGAATGAGTAGCAGGTGCAAAATAATAATAAAACAAATAAATCAAATGGCAATGAAGTAGCTGAGCATAATATTCAGGACAAGATCACCCTTTATAACAAATGCAGCATTACAAGGGACTTTGTAGGCAATAAGTTTTCTAGACCTACCTAGGAGTTCTATACTTACAATAACCCCTGGGTAATAACCTCCAACAGTCACATTTTGGGTTCTTGTTGTAGCAGCTAGGCCCACCGTTAGAATTAATACTGACACAATGAGGAGAGTCACAGTTACGTAGAGGGAATTTCTTTTTCTTCTATTGAACGACCCTAAAAACACACACACACAACAGAATTTGCTGATTCCATCTGGGGACAGTCATGGTACTGCAAATTTCTCCTCCCACCGCCAACCACATTGTGGTGAATTTTGTTTCTTCTTACTTGAGAATATTTTTGGGTTTGGCTGTCACTTTTCACCTTCACTAACATGCTTTATCAAGCGTTACTAGGGCATCTGAATTCACATTTACTTATCATTGCTCTGACGTAGATGAAGAGCGCCTTAAGAACGGTAACTTTGCAAAGCTCGTTTGGATACACCGGAGCCTCCCAGCCCCCCTGGCCTGGGGCAACTGAGCTAATAAGAAATATTACCATTACACATTTATATATTTTCTGATCTGTCTGCTTACATCAAACTGAATAATCACACTGTATGCCACTTGTTTAGAGGGGGGAAATCTTAGCTGTAATCATATCATAAGGCATCCACAATTTTCCATGTAAATGAAACATCACCAGTAACAGCAACTTCTCCTCCCACAATTTTCCATGAAAATGAACCAGCCCCAGTACCAGCCACTTCTCCTCCTCCTGTAGTATCATCCTCTACTTTCAGCAAGGAGCAGGTATTTTTAGATGCTTGAATAATGAATTTGTGGATTAGTAAAACTCATCTACAGCTGCCTGATTATGTGTTTTTTTTTTTCTTCTTTTATATATTTATAGATCTCCCAAATGAGCATAAATATAAAATAGTGATTCCATCAGCCAAGAGGAAAGCTGTCTGCGACGTTAATGCTCAGCAGCATCTTTATGCATGTTTGTTCAGCTTGTGCTCTGCCATTTTTACATCACTTTGTGGAACAATCCTTTTGATTATATTTCATACACTATGCAGACATAACCCAACACCTGTGGGAGCAGCTGGTAGCATAAGGGGCTGTAACGGGGCCCTGCCACGCTCGCTGTGGGCTGCTGGG